GCCTGAAGATCAGATGCAGTGATAAGACTGAGAGAGATGAAGACACTGTTATAAGCAGTAATATCTCTGCTTCATCAGCTGATAAAAAGTAATCAGAGAAGTTACAGAGATACTTATAAGAAGCTCAGTAGTAGTCAGATATTATTTATAAAGATATTAAAATTGAAAAATTTTTTATTCTTAAGAAGTTCTTGAATTAATATATAAATATTATCAGAAACACTCTCTCTCTATTATCTGAGTGAAAACACTTCACAGATGAATGAGAATACTCACAGTTTATAAGAATAAGAGCTGTTACAGAAAAAGAAAAAAGAAGATAAAGTTTCATAAATAGATCTGAAATATTTATACTACTTTAGAGAGATTTACTTACACTGTGAGTAATTTCATAGAATAGTCAGATTACTCTAGTAAATAAGAGTGATTATAAATCATAGATCTGAATCTTTCTATATAACTATAAAGAGTGATTGTAGACTGTAGATATCTTGATTCTACAATTCTACAGAGTTAGTGAAAGAATGAAAAATTCCTCACAATTCTACAGTGTTAAAGAACAATAATTTACAAGAATAAGTGAAAGATCAACTGATAAATACTTCTCTTTAATAAGAATAATCTCATAGAGAGTGATTTATCTGTGAGATGAATCTGTATAATAATCACACAAGAATCTCATGAAAATAATTAAGAGTCAATCAGAACTCTTCTGTATAAAAGATATAAGATGAATCTGTATAATAGTTAGAGAAGAATCTGTAGACTATAAAGAATCTTACAGAATAAGAAACTGAGTAATAGACTCTTTTCTCTTCACAGTAATAAGGAATTTTTTCCTCACTGAGATTTTTTATAGATATGAAGAATTTTTAGTAAGTATTACTGCAGTACTGAGCTGATTCTATGAAGTCACTCAGTGAAAGACTTCACAGATGAAGTCTTAGAGAGAGAGAGATATGTAAGAAATCTCACTTCTTACAGATTCTTTATCTCTATTTCTATCTCTTGTATAATTAATAGAGCTAGCGGCCCTTGACTACATACAACTATATAGACTGAAGTTCACAAATACTATTTATAACTCAGCTTGAATACTATTATACATTTAATCTCTACATTTTATCTTTCTACTGTGAATACTTCTAGTAGTTAATAGTACATATCACACTAAGCTGCAAACACCTGAATAATCACCTGTGAGTACTTATTCTTACACTTATTCAATAGATCATTGAGTGTCTTTTGAAGAAGAAGAAGTTTATCTCAGAACATGTTATAAAGAGAGTCTCATAATAATTCAGAGTTCTTATTATTCTTTTTCTCTAACTTGATACTATGATTCACTTCAGAACCTCATAAGAAAGATATATTTATAATATTATCTTGTTAAAAGACATCTAGATATTCATGATATTATTGAGAGAGTTTTGTACAAGAATTTGTTATTATAACACAGAATAACTTTTCTAGAGTCTTTTTAATATTGATCAGACTGACAGAATAGATTGACACATGATTCTGCTATTAATGAACTTGTCAGTGACTCTGTCAGTGATTTTAATAATAGAATACGCTGAAGGTTATGACATCTTACAACTGAAGATTTTATTATTACATAGTAGTATAGACCGCTGTCTATCATGACTTTCATATTATACATATTATCAATCACAGTAGATACAAGAATCACATTCATTATCATCTTCTCTTCAAATTATTGTTATTCAACCTCTTCAAGCTTCTGTTTATAAATTTGAACAGAAGTTAATCTTTTTCCTGTTTCATCAGAGCATTCTCATAGTTATCTTCTGAATCTTTCTCTAATGTAATGTGGTTGATGCGGACAGGCGCTGATTCATTCTTTGAACAAGGAGATACATAGATTGATTAGTAGTTAAAAGTAATGTGTTCTGATTAGTTACAGTTGATGCACACTTCATATTAATATTGATTGATGACTTCTTCAGAAGTGATCTCAGAGACTTAAAAGCCTGTTTAAATGATGAAAACTCTTGCTTATGTATAGATATTTGAATCTATTCAGTTCATAACATCTGCATTATTGTTATTCTTCAGTGCAGATGTATGAGTGACTGAGATGTAATATCTTCTATCACTGTTCTATATACTCTTGAGCTTGATAAGATGATCATTCAATATTTGAAGCTGTGTGTAGAAGTTTTCATAAGTCTGATCTTTGTCTACACTTATAAGAGTCTGTAAGAGTTTAAAAGTCAATGTCTTCTTAAGCATGCTAATCTTTATTTAATTCTCTTAAGATTGATCACCTACTTCTAGAATCTTGATATTGAAGTCAGAGATAAATGTTGTAAAAGAAGTATTTCTCTGTCAGATACTCTGTAGTCAATCTAATACTTTCTGTTATATGACAGTGTCTTGAAACAGAATATTAAGATATTTCATAATATTGTCAGATATTTACAATACTGATTCATATACTTTCATTCATGAGTAAAATTTCTGTTTCATACAATCTTTCAATCATTCATTGATATATTAATCTTGATTAATTAGTAAACTGATAGTATCTTCATCTACACTCAGTTTTATAAGCATTTTCATTCTTTATAATGAGTAGAGAGTGAGATTAGAAGTATTAAAATATACAGAAGTATCTAAGCATTTCTTCAGTGCTTTTATATTCAATTCTGTAGATATTGAAATTACATGAGTTAATCATTGAATCTCTTTGTATTGAAGTTGTTAAGTTGCATGCATATCAGCTATTTATTATTATTGTAATTTCAACATTGCTCAGAGTCACTGTGACATCATATTTATATTCACATTTAAGAGTTTCATATTATTATTAGACATGATTATATTAATTATTAAATGTGTAATTGTATAAATCTCTCATACATCTGAGTATTAGAACTCTTGAGTCTTTTACTGACATTCTTTTTATAAAATCTTACTCTCTTTGTAAGATGTTGTTGCAGAGTCAGAATAACTGATAAGTAAGCTTCTATCTGAGAACTCAGTGTTCACTTAACTGTTTGACTGCTTCTCTATTTCTTATGCATTATTACACATTCAGATATTTCTCAATAAATAATCATTTCTAATGAGAAGATGATGCATGAATAATCATTTTCTAATAAGAAGATAATCAATGTTTTTCTAGTATAAGAGGCCTACACTGAATAGATCAGTATAATATTGATAGATCTTATATAATAAAGAGAAAAACATTAAAGAAGAAAAAGAAAGAGAAAGTGTAGAAATCAGTGATCAGAGTGAATATTTATACACATATATAATAATGTATGCAGTGAAGCTTCAGAGCAGAAGAATCTATACATATTTATAACAGCTAAGAATCAGTGATTGAGAATGACTGAGAATCAGAGTATATATATTTAATAGTGAAACAGAAGAATCTATGAAGTGAAGTGAAAGAATCTATGAAGTGTAATGAAATAGTCTATATAATTAATCAGACGCAGCCTGTTATATACAGTGAATGTACTTTTATATAGTTATACTTTTATTCTCATCTTTATTCTTATTCTTTTTTACAGTTATAGAATCAGTCTGAGACTGCTTTTTCTACTTAGTAATAATCTTCTTAAATATACAATTAATCAGTTACTTTATTAAATTATTAATATTAATATTAATAATAAGTTCTTAATCAGTGAAGAAAAACTTATTTAAATATATTTTAATAAATAATTCTTGATAATCTTACAGATTGTTGAGAAAAAGATTATAATATACATCTTTAATACTTTAACAGAGCTTCTTATATCAGATAATAAGATAGTAAAAATATCTCTGAAAAGTAAGATAATTACTATTCTTAACTTATAATTTTATTAATTTCTTAAAGATATTAACTTGTTCTTCAGTCAGTAATCTTATATATTTAATATTAATCTTATCTCACAGAGCTGCAGTATTATCAGCTTTTAAAATTTTAATAGTAATTTAAATATTTTTAATAAGACTTAATAGTATACATCTATATAGAGACTTAGAATGAATCTTTCACTTCTCAGAGTTAATATAATATATAAAAGAGAATTCTTATTAAATTCTTAATAGAATGTTAGTTTTATTAATAACTTCTATATCAGTTAATATATTAATATATCAGACTTTATAATTAGAGTTATTAAATATAATCACTGATTTAATATCTAGTATATATTTAACTTTCTTCTGATATTTCTATAACTTATTTCTTATAGTATCTCTTTATACAGAGATAGATATAGTAAGATATTAAGTGATTTCAGTTATAGTTATTTAATTCTGTAGTATTATTTATATAAGATTCATAAGATTATCTGTGATATAATAGATAGATTAATTCAGATCATCATTAAAAGTTAGTATTTCAGAGATAAGAGATAATGAAGAATTTAATAAATTAAAATAAACAGATTCTGTAGATGAATATTAACTCTGTTTTTCTTTATTCTGAAGTTTCTCTGTTATCTCATTATTAAATTTCATACTCTGATAAAAACTGATCTCAGTCTTATCTTGTAAGTCAGGAGTCTTCTTATAATAAGTGATTATTCTATCAATGAGTCATCTAGTGAAGTGTATAATTCTGAACCTTGAGCTGAACTCTGAAGTAACAGGTGTATCACTCATGTCAAGGTGACTCTGCTTCTTCTAGATATATAAAAAAAAAGTGATATTCTCCACAATAAAGAACACACTTTCTCAAAAAATATAAAGTATATGAATCTGCTGATCAGCAGATTCAGGGAAAATGAAATATCTCTAATAAAGAGTGAGAGTCTTTTCAAAAAAGATGAACTATCCTTGTCAAAAATGTTGGTACAACATTCTAAAAAGAAAAACGTGCCATCCGGGCGATAACCTGTAGGCTACTGGGACAAAAGAGCTCGATCACCACCAGCGCACTGCTGGTAGAAGGGCCGACCAACCGCGGGACCCCCAACACATATTTCAAGCAATCTCACCCGTCGATTACTAAGCACACCATTTTCCCCAAGATTTTTATCATCAACTCGATTGCAATAATATCGAGATAAGAAATATTCCGCCTTCTCTTTCGTTCATTACCAACTCGTCTCTTTTGCCTTTTTGTCTTTCATCCATGCGATGCTAGCCAATTCATGCCGTGGCCTTTGCGCCACTATAGCCGTCCTCCCAGCGGGACCCCGCTCCGCTCGTAGTCTTCCGCAGCCAACACACACCTTCTACCGCCAAAGAATACAACACAGCTACCTCCTCCCCCTTCTCAGCAACAATGGAGCCGACATTGCCCATTTCTCTAGTACACCGGGCCGCCCGAAACCACCTCCTACCACCTCCACCTCCACCACAGCTACCACCACCGTCCAACCTGTCACCATAACCTCCCCCCTAAACCCCCCATTATCCACCCTCCCAGCCCCCCTTTCCCTCCCCGAAAAAGACCCCAGCGCCAACAAGGCAAAATACTACTTCGCGCTCGGCAAAGCCTACCTCTCCTTCTACAAAACCGGCCTTAAAAACGTTTACTATAACTACCGCGCCGCCCTCCCGCTCCGCAGCCGCCTAGGCCTCTCGCTACTCCTCCCCACCTCCCCTCCCCCGACCGTCTACGCCGTCAAACACATCAACAACGCCACCATGCTGCGCATGTACGCGAAGAAAGTTTCTCGCAGCGAGTTCCAGCTCATCCGCCGCGCGGCGTACGACGTGCGCCGCATGATTCCGTTCTCACTCATCTTGCTGCTGTGCGGGGAGATGACGCCGTTTGTCGTGCTGGCGCTGGGCAGCGTGGTTACGCCGTTTACGTGTCGGGTGCCGCGGCAGGTGGAGAAGGAGCGGGTTAAGGCGTGTTTGCGGAAGGAGAAGGCTGTGAGGGCGGCGGAGGTGGATGGGGCTGCCGCTGCTGCTGCTGCTGCTGCTGCCAATGGTGCGAATGGCATTGATACTGTAAAAGCGACTGCCATTGCGAATCTAGATGTGCTACTTAATGCCACGGCGATACCGCATACGGTGGATATTAACGGGCTGATTAACCATGCGTCGACGGCGGGTGTTTTGAGGGCGTGTGCGGTTTTCAGGCTAAGTCGGGGCCATGAGGTGACTGGTAGTTCTTTTTTGCCTGGGTTTCTCGTGGCAGAGATTGTTAATCAGATCTATCGGCCGAGGTTGAGGAAGTGGATGAGATATCTTGAGGTGGATGATTGGTTGATTGTGAAGAATGGAGGGGTTGAGGGAATGAGTTCGGAGGAGGTTAGGATTGCCGTGGAGGAGAGGGGTGGGGTGGATGTTTCGGTTGGGTTGAAGGAAGGTGAGGCGGAGGCGGCAGAGCGGAGATGGTTGGAAAATTGGGTACAGGGGAGAGGCGGGGAGAAGATGGTTGAGAGGTGGGATGTGGAGTTGACTGAGTGATTGAAGTGAACATGTAAGAGAGTTGGTCGATGGGGTGGAAACTGTATATTAGATTAAAGATTTCTAACTGGGTTTGGTTTGCCTTTTTTGCTCATCTTGTTGCTTTCCTTGGAGCCTTTGTGTTGTTCTGCGATGTTAGGATATTTGCGCATGTATAGATAGATCATAGACCCCTGGCCCCCCTATATTCAATCGACCGAAATATCCATACTAGATGCTCAGATTTCAGGGGCGATATGTTGGTACGTCATGCAGGGCTACGAAGAGGGAAGAAGAGGATACCGCTTCAGAGATGCCGATATACATGACCCTATTACTAGAAAAGCTTCATGCGCACTCTTAGGAGTGTTGAATAAGGTGGGTGGGAGAAATTTAGATGGAAACAGTGAGGATGAAACTAAAGCATTAGAAGGAAGTGGGCGCTAGCTGTAATGAGACATTGGTATTAAAGATTCTAACTACTACTTCTATACAGCTTGGTGTATCTTTCAATTAAATGAGCTATGTTCGAGCCGGGATATCCAAGCCAAAGACCCAGTCTCAAAGATGAGGGAGTTGTCATAAGTCTGAAAGGGTATCTATCCAGTGCCAGGAGGTATATGATTGAATTTGCTAATACAGAGATGCTGGAAAGTCATCCCTCAACGAGGAACGTGGCCTTCTTCACCTTCTGTGCGCCAACTTTCCATGTGTGTCCTCACTTCCCCGAGCGGGCGAGGGCGCGGTTCGAAATTGCGATTTATTTCGTCGGTACGGACATCTCCTCCTGTCAGAGATGCGTCGATGAGGATGTGATCGCGGAATCTTTCGAAGTCGTGGTAGTTTGCGCCCAGGGCGAAACTAAGGAAGCTTTCGCTAGGTTTGTTCTCATTGCTTCCAAGGATGGCGTCTTTATCTTGCTGTTGAGCAGTACTGGGTTTTTCCTCGGATTTTATTCGAGCTTTGAGGTCAGCATGTGTAGCTTTAAACACCTGCTTCACTTCGGGCATAACAAAACACGTCCACCCCACGTCATTCATGAAATCAGAGGGATCTTGCAGGCTCAGCATCCCATAGCTTGGGGGTGAAAAGGAACGTTTGCTGATGCTACGCTGACCCCTTAAATAAGGGTGGTGTAAGCGAATCACCCTCCCATCCTTGTTCCTTACTTCCCTTAGACTTAGCCATTTGTCGAACAGACCAGGCGGCTCGACAGAAACGCCGTATCTAGTAAAATCTGTATCCATATAAACTTCAAGGACGTGCAACAATTGGCCGCCCACGTTGTCGCGTTGGTATTTGCCCTCTCGAATCTTGAGAGCTGCAACAATCATCATGGTCAAGAGATAAGGATGCATTCCGCCATCAGTTCCACCAAGCAGACCCCGCGTTTCGAGTAGCATTCGTAGGACTATGAATAAAGCGCGGAGGGTCGGGAATTCTGCGCGGTAGTTGAGTATGAAATCCAGGGAGGCGGGTGGACTGGGTCCGCATTGGAATTGGACCGGTAGGCCCGTAGCATCGTGAATTGCTGATAAGGTTGGGTCTCTATCTCTCCTCAGCGTAACATTGGAAAGGGTCTGAGAATTTTTCAGTATACGCTCCATCTCACGTAGGCGTTTGAGTCGGGCTTGCACCATCTTTGGCCGATTGGCACTTGGACCTCGGCCATCTTCTGCCCTCTCAAGATCTTTGATGGGAACAAACAGGTCGACAGAGGAGTGGGGTAAGGCCATTCCAGTTCTATGCGAACCGATGAGAATTGGTAGGTCCGCTTCAACAGATTGTAAGGATGCAATTGCGTCATTTTGAGCTTTTTCAACCGCATCCCTCTCACCAGGAGTTGGCAGCATGTATTTTTCAAAGGCTCTAATTTCCTCGCCTAGGCATGCGACAGCTCCGCCGCCGGACTTTTCCACATAATTGAGCCAGGGGAGCTCTGTCGTTGGGCTGTAAGGTGCATACTTCGCCCATGAAATATTGGGTCTTGTCGGGTCGACTGCAGCGTAGCGTCGGGCCTGGAAGGAATGGACGTCAAATTTGGAGCCGGCGCCTTCGCCGCGGTCGAGAATCCAGGAAAGGTCTACTTGACGAGCAGGCTGATCCGACTGATCTGCCTCCAATTTCCAACGGGATTGGATAAATTCCGGGCGAATTGTCGCCTTAAAATCATTTGTTCGAGAGGGTATCTTTCGAATAGTGAACGTCTGGCGGTTGGCGGATCGATGTCTTTGTATGGTCTCCTCGAGGCTGTTGGGGTCCACCTCGAGCTGGTTGCTTGGCCGCCAGCGACCAGAGGCATTATGGTACTGTCGACGGGCTCGTAGAAATATCCATGCGCTTTGAGAGAGTTCTCTGTCAATGAGGCATCGTATGCAGGGCTCCCCGGATCGCGCTATCAAATATATGGAGACCATCCCGTTCGAAAGATGAAGGGTACGGGAATAAAATGGAATTCGGCACCAGTTAGCTCGATGGGTCTGGGGAGCATATGGGGTCCCGTATTCAACCAGCTCCTATGACCAGAAGCAACTTGAATTGTGAGATGTCGCATGGAATAAAGCCCGAGTCGAAGGATAGAAACTTTTTTTCTCGAATATCAACCTGGATAGCGTTGTAGCTGATTAGTCATCACACACTTCCCCCCATGATACGGAACACAACACAATAATCGCCCATTATTGGACGGTTTGCTATAGTTACTTGACTTCTATTCGTTCTTCTCCGAAGCCCAGCGCAATGTCCGCGTCAACTCAGCCTTGCAATTCGAAAATTCGAAACGGGGGTAGCGAATCAGTAGTCAGTTTGGAAGACCGAGCTTGTCCAGTTCTCAGCGACAAAGAGGAGCGTAAAAGGCGATATAGCTAGTTAACCAGAACACTTTCCTTCCCTTGAAACGGAGCAGATTCCCGACGCCAAGAGCAATTACTAAGATACTTGTGGCTCAACAATAATGGTTCTCCAGTGGGAAGCTGGGCTGGGTTGGGGCCAATTCCGCTGGCTGCAGTAACTTTGTAGGCCAGAGCGAGGACGTTGCCTGGGGCCATGACGTAGCCGCGGATTAGCCGCACCAGGCGCATCATCGACCTTTCTGTCCGCTTCGAACTTCATCTAGATGCTACAACTCGATTCGTTGGCCCCCGGTTGCAGTTCTCCAACAGGTTCGAATTGGGCCTGAATCCACCTTTCTCCGCAGTGTTGACACCATCATACATCTGCTTCCATTGATATCTCTTGGCCATGACTGTATTCCACTTATCACTGTTATCAGCCCACCCCACTCCTCTTGCCACGGCTGCCCGGTTTTTAACCTCGAGTCCTTTTATTTATAAGCTCTACTTCGCCAGATGATCTGGGAAGTTTATATCCATTAGCCTCTAGCTTTATTTAATCCTAGATAACCTTGCTGGAATTATCATCTATTCGGTATGCTTGCTTCTTATTTTCCTTTTGTTTCCTTTTTTTTTTTTTTTTTTTTTGCCAAATAATTATTAGTATTTTATTATGACCCCGCGATATGCGGAGCTTTTTATATCCGGTAGAAAGTTAACAGAGATATATTTAGACAGCACCCTACCTAGCTCTTCTTACGCTATTTGCTCAGATCCCTCCCCCGCCATGGCGTCCAATGATGTCGGGTCCCCCGACAGGACAGCTGTTGATGGCACCCCCCCTACCGACGTGAGACGCCTTCCGAATCACGTTGGAAATAATGATGCCGAACTTGTGTCCAATCTACTGAATGAGAAGCCTGCAAGGTTTCCCGAGAGCCCAACAGAAGCTGCTAAAGGCGTAAAGTCCGGGGCGGACCTCCTACGTCGTTTAAGCCTGATTGATTCTTCAAAACCTTCAGCGCCGTCAATAGAACCCCAAGAGGGACATCCGGGTCTACATTTGACGGGTAGAATCATCAGTGCCGCATTTTGTATTCCGTACAAACTCAGAATACGCCCTGGTCATGATTGGGTATGAGGCTTCTATGCGAGCATATTTGTTCCGTTCCTTCGTTCTCTAGCTTACTTGCGAATTCAGGAACTCAAACACCGACCAGGAACCTCAGCCTTGTTTGATTCATTCTGCTACCTCGCCTCTTCAAAAACGCCATGGAATCACACCATGGTAGGATGGACGGGTGAAATCGAACAAATTCACGGCCCAGAAACCCGGCATGCGACTCCTCCTGGACAGCCACTTCCCGCTGACACTACCCCTACCCCTCTAAATAAAGCATCCGCCCCTGTCCCAATCGATCCCTCCGAAAAACCGAGCTATGCCGTTCAAGATGGAATATGCGTAACAGAACAGGATCGCATTCGCCTTCAAGATCAACTTCGCAATAGCAAATTCGGAAGGGTTCTCCCCATTTGGTTAACTGACGAACAAGAATACCCCGATCAAAACCTGTATCTGAAAGACCAGGGGAGATGGAGGCGTTATCCTGAGAGAGAGCTATATCCTGATCTCCATTACAAACAACGCGCCACGACCGATGGCTGGTCTGAGCGGAAATGGTGGGCAGACTACGTGAGACTCAACCAACTTTTCGCAGATCGCATTCTGGAGACCTACACTCCCGGTGATATAATTTGGATCCACGACTACCATTTGTTCCTTCTTCCAAGCATTCTACGTCAAATGGTTCCCAACATCTACATTGGCTTTTTCCTTCACACGCCGTTTCCGAGCAGCGAGTTTATGAGATGTCTTTCCAAAAGGAAAGATATACTGACTGGCGTTCTGGGTGCAAACATGATAGGTTTCCAGATATTTTCGTACTCTCGTCACTTTGCTTCTTGCTGCACAAGAATCTTGGGTTTTGATTCAAATTATGCAGGCATTGATGCGTACGGAGCTCATGTTGCCGTTGATGTTTTCCCCATCGGGATTGACGTAGATGGAGTACGGAAGCTGGCCTACGACGAACCAGGCATTTCTGACATCGTTAGCAGCATCAAAAAACAGTACCACGGAAAGAGAATTATTATTGGAAGAGACAGGTTAGATTCTGTACGCGGGGTGACGCAAAAATTGATGGCTTTTGAAACATTTCTTGAACGGTACCCTCAGTGGCGCAACAAAGTTGTTTTGATACAGGTAACGAGCCCGACAAGCGTGGAAGAGGAGAAGGAGGAATCCGAAGCAAAGATTTCAAGTCAAATGTCACATCTTGTTTCCACTATCAACGGCAGATTCGGATCGCTTAGCTTCTCCCCTGTTCAGCATTATTCTCAGTATCTCGTGCCACAGGAATATTTTGCCCTTTTACGAGCTGCAGACATTGGTCTAATCACCAGTGTCCGTGACGGCATGAACACGACCAGCCTAGAATACGTCGTCTGCCAGCACGAAAATCACGGCCCGTTAATTCTTTCTGAATTCTCCGGCACAGCAGCCAGTCTAAGTAGCGCTATCCATATCAACCCTTGGGATCTGGGAGGCGTAGCCGACGCCATTAATCAAGCACTGTTGATGACACCAGAGGAACGAGAAGCTCAACACAAGCAGCTCTATAAACACGTTACAACGCACACAATCACCACATGGTCCGACAAATACCTCAAACGCCTCCTAACCAACCTTTCCTCCTTCGATCAGTCCATTGCTACCCCAGCCCTTGATAAAGCCAAGCTTCTTTCACAGTATCGAAAATCTCGCAGACGCTTGTTTATGTTTGACTACGATGGCACCTTAACGCCTATTGTGAAGGATCCTCAGGCTGCAATCCCATCGGATCGTGTACTCCGTACGATCAAAACCCTTGCTGCCGATCCGAAGAATTCCGTTTGGATTATTAGTGGTCGGGACCAAGCCTTCCTCGATGAGTGGATGGGCCATATCTCCGAACTTGGCTTGAGTGCCGAGCACGGGTGTTTCATCCGGCAACCCCGAAGCGATGATTGGGAGAACCTGACTGAAAAGTCCAACATGGGATGGCAGAAAGAAGTGCTTGAGATTTTCCAACACTACACCGAACGCACGCAAGGCTCCTTCATCGAGCGAAAGAGGGTCGCTTTAACTTGGCATTATCGTCGAGCTGATCCAGAGTACGGCACCTTCCAGGCCACAGAATGCAGGAAACACCTTGAAAATACTGTGGTGAAACGCTGGCCGGTCGAGGTCTTATCTGGCAAAGCAAATCTAGAGGTCCGGCCGACATTTGTCAACAAAGGATCCATCGCGAGTCGTCTGGTAGAAGAATATAAATACGGGCTAGGGCAGGATCCGGATTTCGTTTTGTGTCTGGGTGACGATTTTACTGATGAAGGTTCGTCTGCCGATCGGCCGCCCAGCCGTTTGAAATCACCAATAGAGTACAACGTGCTAATCTACGTATTTTAATAGATATGTTCCGTGCGCTCGTAAACAGTAACCTCCCGCGGGACCGGGTTTTCTCGGTCACTGTAGGTGCCAGTTCGAAACAGACACTTGCAAGTTGGCACTTACTGGAACCGGCAGATGTCATCGCTACAATCGCCATGTTGAATAGCAAAACAAACTGCTAGCGACCCAGGCAGTGTGGCGGCGGAAGTGCCCTGCCAACACACAAAGGATAGCCGCGGCGTTTCAGCCGGGATCCAAAAGACGGTTCGCACGTATGATATTCTAATTGTGTCAGGACCAAGACTTTGCTTATGTTTACCTTTTCGATCTTCCATGTGTGGTATTTGGGCATTTGCGTATTTTTTGTCAGGGAGTTATGTTCTCCCCAATGTTTTCAGCTTCAGTTTGAAGCGTCGCACGATCCTACAGGTAGATGAGGCATTGAGTGCATGGGTTCCTTGGATCAGATGCTTTCTCATGCATTCTCCACTTACCCATCACACACCTGTGAACATCACACCTACTTTCAGATCTCAAGTTTCAAAAAGTCCGTCTTTGTTTTGGACTTCATGTTTTGAAAGCTCTTGCGGATTTTTTGTGTCTGTCTGCCATTCGGGCTGCCGTTTTTTGACACTTTTTTAATACGCAAAAGTACTTAGAAAAGGCATGGAGGAATGTACTTGCGTATATCTCTTAATTAGTAGGGACCAAGGAGTGGAGGTGGGAAAATAAAAGGAACCCATGAGGTGCGAATGGGGGACAGTGGCACTTTGATAACTATATCACATCACTCCAAACGAGGCAATTAAGTCGTCTGTCCTCAATATTCTCTCAGTCAAATCTATGTAGCTAATAGTATCTAACTACCCCACTCCGGCAGTCAATAAGGAAAAAATGTAAACATAACCAGTCATCAACGGAAAGAATGATATCTCGAACCATGTCATGTTACATACATACACATATATATATATATATATACCCACGGCCCCACTCGCTCCCTATCTCAGAGCCTCAACCCCAAAAATACCGTGCCTTCAATCGCCGTCTCATAATACTTCTCAACCACCCCAAAGCCCATACCCCTATACATCGCAATCGCCTCGCGCATATCCGGCAGCGTATCAAGTCTTACCTCTTCATATCCGATCTGACGGGCAACGGCAAGCATGGCGTTTACCAGCGCCTTGCCCACCCCAAGCCCCCGTGCCGCCGGCGTGACATATAACCGCTTCAGCTCGCAGTATTTAGAGCCGGGTTTAGTATCAATATTGGCCGGAGCCTTACCGTCGTCATCGGCGTTGCTGCTGACAGGGTCAGGATGAGTGTGTGACCGGGAGGCCGCACGGTTGGCTTGCGCCTGTAGCGGCACTTTTTCACAGCCACTGTTCATATCCTTGTGCATGTGTACATGGGAGTTCGCGGAGTGCGATGCAGCCCAGCACAACATGCGGCGTGTGGTCATCTTGGGCCTGGGCTTCATTATCTTTCTTCTTCTTCTCATTATTGTCCCTACAGCGATAAGTAATTCTCCGGACGGCGGTGCATAGCTGCCGGGCATGCGGGCCATTTTCCGACTCGAAGTCTTGATAGGAGAGATCAACGCCCAGACCCGCCGGAGGGAGTTGTAAAAGTGTTCCGACTGGAGGAGAACTGCGTCGTTTTCAAAGCCGATTGTATAAGTATACAACGGCTCCTCTGGCCCTAGTTTAGGTCGGCACGGTAGAGTTTGTAGAGGCACCGGAGGAGCGCCGGGAACTCGTATAGCTTCGGGCATAAAGGGGCTTTTTTCTCCACTTGGTCAAGAGCTAGGTTCGGGACACTTGGAGTAAGCATGAGTAGGATAGATGAGTATCAGATAGTTTTGCTTTTCTGTGTGGATACGGTAGCTGTAAGGCTGTAGCTGTGCAGTGTTCTGCTAGCGGCAACGAAGGGATTCGCGGTGATATTTATTCGAGTTGGAGGTGTAGTTAACTTATGTATAGTGGTTGCGGTTTACACCATTAACCGTCCGTCTTTGCATCAAGCTGCGGTGACTGAGAAAGTTTGCCCAATTATTTATTTTATCACTGTTAAAACTTGAACATGGTGATAAAATGGCATATGCTGAGGATTAGCAGTACAGAGTAACTACTAAGAACACTCTTTTTTATTAGAGAATATAGATTATATTTTATGCAATTGATGAGGTCGACTTTTCTGATTCCTGTGATATATTTCCATCACTTTAAGCGGATATATTTAATGATGATGATTATTTAACCTAGTCGCAAGTTTTAAGTCTCTATATTTTAACTAGCTGAACGCTGGAGCTTAATAACATTATTAAATGAATGTTGGCCCTTACGGCCGTTGCGGTTAGCGATCCCACTAGATCACGTGACCCACCACTATATTATGTTCTTGTAGATAGATCTATCAATACAATCTTCAACTATTCTACAGGTTATAGCCTGAATGACATGTTTTTCTTTTTAGAACATTGTATCAACATTTTTGACACAGATAGTTCATCTTTTTTAAAAAGACTCTCACTCTTTATTAGAGATATTTCATTTTCTCTGAATCTGCTAATCAGCAGATTTATATACTTTATATTTTTAAGAAAGCACATTCTTCATTGTGAAGAATATCACTTTTTTATTTTTTTTTACATATCTTGATATGAGTGATATATCTGTTACTTCAGAGTTCAGCTTAAGACTCAGAATTACACACTTCACTAGATAACTCATTGATAGAATAATTACTTATTATGAGAAGACTTCTGACTTATAAGATAAGACTGAGATTAGTTTTCATCAGAGTATGAAATTTGATAATAAGATAATAAAGAAACTTTAGAATAAAGAAAAACAGAGTTAACATTTATCTACAGAATTTATTTATTTTAACTTATTAAATTCTTTATTATCTCTTATCTCTAAAATATTAATTTTTAATAATAATCTGAATTAATCTATCTATTATATCACAGATAATCTTATAAATTTTATATAGATAATACTACAGAATCAAATGACTATAGCTGAAATTACTTAATATCTTACTATTAGACTGACTATGTGACTGTGTCTGAGATCAGAATCAGATTTTTTAATAGTCTTATTATTAATTCAACTGATCTCATTACACAGTTTTAACATTAGATAGTAGTTTTATACTGTCTCAGTGAGACTTACTGTCTTCTCTTATCACATTTTTCAAAAGAGATCATGATTTTCACTTCTCAATTTAAATTATTTTTATTGCTTTAAATGACTTTAAATCTCATTTGAGTGTTATCAAAAAGTGTTACTTTTTAAAAAATTAAAAATAGTCTAAAAAAAACCTTAAAATGTCTAAAAATAGTAATTTTATGTTAAGAATGAGACTAAATGAGATCAAATGAGATTACTTTCTTATTTTTTTCAAGTTATGATTTCATTTTAAGATCTGATATATAGTCACTTTACATGTTTTTTTGATAGTCAGTCTCAGCAGAATTCATGTCAAGAAATGTATGAGATCAGATCAAATGAGATCAAATATGAAATTCATAATCTCAGCGGCCAGTCTACTCACTATATCTGTCTCTGTATAAAGAGACACTATAAGAAATGAGTTGCAGAAATATCAGAAGAAAGTCAAATATACACTAGATATCAAATTAATAATTATATTTAATAACTCTAATTATAAAGTCTGATGTATTAATATGTTGACTGATACAGAAGTTATTAATGAAATTAATATTCTATTAAGAACTTAATAAGAATTTTCTTTTACATGTTATATTAACTCTGAGAAGTGAAGAATCTGTTTCAAGTCTCTATATAGATATATACTATCAAGTCTTATTAAAAATATTCAAATCACTATTAAAATCTTGAAAGCTGATAATACTGCAGCTCTGTGAAATAAGATCAATATTGAATATATAATATCACTGACAGAAGAATGAGTTAATATCTTTAAGAAATTGATAAAATTATAAGTTAAGAAGAATAATTATCTTACTTTTCAGAGATATTTCTACTATCTTGTTATCTATTATAAGAAGCTCTGTCAGAGTACTGAGAATGTATATTATGATCTTTTTCTCAACAATCTATAAGATTACCAAAGATCATTTATCAAGATACATTTGAATAAGTTTTTCTTCACTGACTAGAAACTCATTGTTAACATTGATATCAATGATTTAATAAAGCAACTGATCAATTGTACATTCAAGAAGATTATCACTGAGTGAAAAAAGCAGTCTCAGACTGATTCTGTGACTGTGAAAAAGAATAAGAATAAAGATGAGGATAAAAGCATATCTGTATGAAAGTGCACTCACTGCAGAAGATATAAATATACTGTTAACAGGTATTTTATCTTACACTCTGATAAAAAGAAAAAGAAGAATGACAAGAAGAATAACAAGAAGAAAGAAAAGAAGAATGACTTGATAAGTTCTCAATCAGCAGTAAATATAGTAATTACAAAGATTGAGTTCTATTTCTCTTTCACAGTTATTGAAAAATCATTCTCTAGATCTTGATATTTGAACACATATACAAGTCTGAATATGATGAGTGAGCTTTATTCTTTTTCAAATATCAAATCTTTTAATGATAACATCTCTGTTAATTCTGTCACTGAGAGAACTGAGTTTATCAAGAAGATTGAAACTGTCACCTTGAAGATTAAGAGTGATGATGTTAACTTACAGAATATTTACTATATTTCTAATATTACAGTTAACCTGCTCTCATTTGCAAAGCTTGAAGATCAGAGATTTCAATTTATATTATCTTCTACTATTTTCTCATTTTTCATTTACAGAGCTCTGAACAGCATTATTTTTCATACAGTTCAAACTACTCAGAACAACATATATAAGATCAATGAACAGAAGTTCAATGAGAATTTCAATCATTTAAATAAGACAGTCAAGTATATTACAATGTCACATAGACTGACTGCCAGGACTATGAATTTCATGTTTAGTCTCATTTGATCTGATCTCATACATTTCTTGATGTGAATCCTGCTGGGACTGGCTATTAAAAAAACATGTAAAGTGACTATATATCAGATCTTAAAATGAAATCATGACTTGAAAAAAATAAGAAAGTAGTTTCATTTGATCTCATTTAGTCTCATTCTTGGCATAAAGTTACTATTTTTAGACATTTTAAGGTTTTTTTTAGACTATTTTTAATTTTTTAAAAAGTAATGCTTTTTGGTAATGCTCAAATGAGATTTAAAGTCATTTAAAGCAATAAAAATAATTTAAATTGAGAAGTGAAAATCATGGTCTCATTTGAAAAATGTGATAAGAGTAGACAGTGAGTCTCACTGAGACAGTATGAGACTACTATCTAATGTTAAAACTGTGTAATGGGATCAGTCGAATTGATAATGAGACTATCAAAAAATCTGGTCCTGGTTTCAGACATGGTCACACGGTCAGTCTAATGTCATATGAGTATAATTTTGACTGAAAAGTTGATCTTTCTGTGACTGCTGTTACTACTGTTAATAATGTTAATTCTGCAGATGTGAAAACATAGACATCAAAGATATCAAAGACTCTTTTGAATTGATATTACAATCTCAGTCACATTCACACTAATACTATAATTACTATAGTCAAGGATTCTCATACTGAAGTTATAATTAAAGATTCTAAGACTAAGTTCTTTTGCAAAGAATGTGTCAAGGCAGATATGATACAAGATTATTTAAAAACACTGATGCCTAGATCTATTCAACTCATTGAGAAGGTTCATATTAACCTTACAGATAATAGATATACATTGAAAGACCTCTTTAATCATCTCTTAGAGTCTTGTCAGAGAATCAAATACTGAATACTTATCATCTGTAATATAACTTACTATCATTGAGTATATTTTTTAAAGTTCAAGAATGAGGCTGTTCAATACTTTGAGTTATGACTCAGATTCATGAATAATCTCAGATATACAGTCTCTGCTTTTCTACAGACTGATATTGATGATGTTTTTCAATTCACATATATACACACAGTTATGAATTCATATAATATCAAATAAGAATTAACAGTATTACATTCATTATATCAGAATGATGTTTCTGAATGTGAAATCTGCACTATTATAAGATGAGTTAGATCTGCTCTTTTAAAAGATAATCTTTCTAAGAAGTTCTGAGCAGATGTTCTAGAGACAGTGATTATAATAATTAATAATACTCTCACATCTATAGTTCTTTACAACTCAAAATTTTAATTCTCTACTGCAGAGATCTCTGTGATTCTAAGTTTATATAAGATTTCTTGATATGCACTTATGAATACCCTGCTGAATGTGAGACATTTTCACTAATTAAGTGCAGAGGTTTTTATTCACTTGCATGAATCTCAGCAGCTCACAGATAAGCTCTCTTTATATACTGATTTATATTGTATCATTGAATTCAGTGACACATTGATATATCATCTATAGCATTCTGAATCTGATAAGATTATTATTAGTAGTAATGTGAGGTTTCTGATCATTGAAAAATCAGTTATTATATCTGTGAAACTCATTAATTATATTATTGAATCAGTTGTCACATCTGTGACACTCATTAATAATGTCAGTAAACTGAAACCTGATATTCATCTAATTAATGATGAAGATGCTTCTGATATTAATGATCTGAATTTCACATAATTACAGCTTATAAAATCACTGACTATATACACTTTAAGTCTTATTACAGATAATCTTCTGAAGTTCTACAAGAATATTATATCACAGTTAGAAGAGATAGAAGATTATTAAAAGAAGTCTATACAATGTAAGATTATCAATCTGAAGAGATATAATATATGAAGTTTAATCTCTAAATCTGATATCTCAAGAAGTGAATTAATTACTTCAGACTGTTGAGTGTTTCTTGAGAAAGATAGACCTGCAGATCTGAATATCAATTCTGATAATATTCTTAGAAAATTATATTAAGTGATTTGTAATAACTGACTTAAGAAGAATTCTAGAGAAAAGATCTACACTTCTATTATTACTGATACTGTTAATCATATTCTTTTTATAATAGTAGTACTATGCAGTTAAATACTTTATTAAGTGAATATAGTAATGATATATCTGTATGAGCATCTCACTAAGAAGATCTATATAAGACAACTTACTGAATTTAAGACAGATTTGCTGAAGACACTTATCTACACAGTTGAGAGTAGTCTATACAGTCTGAACTCTGT